TCCCACCGCATCGCCCAGGGCCGCATCGCAGCAGGAGCATGCAAAGCCCTTGAGATGGCCGCGCGCGTGCGTGGCCGTTTGGTGCTTCAGGCGTGCTGAAGGTTCGCGAGGGCCCTGCCAGCCGCGTTGCAAGCCTGCCGGCGTCGTCGCGGCCGCGGCCCCGCGCGGGTCGGCGGACGCGGCGCCGGCTGCGCTCACCACTCGCGGCCGAAGAGCACCATTGGTTGGGCCGGCACGCGGAACACCCCCTCCTTTTGAGCCCTGCCGGGCCGCTTTGGCGCCTGCTTGCCTGTCGCCTTCGACGCCTTGACGGCCCCTGTGGGGCTGCCGCTACCATCGGCCTCTGCAGCTGCACCAGCCAGCGGCAGCGGCGCCACTACGACTGCTTCCCCCGGATCGGCGCCCTCCCTCGCATCGCGCTCCCCTTTCGCTCCTGTGCCGCTTAGCTTGGCTTCCTCACCGCCAACCAGCAGCGGCTGTGCGTCGTCCTGAGGCGGCAGCTGCTGCTGCTGCTGCTGCTGCTGCTGCTGCTTCTGTTGCTGCTGCGGGGGCTCGACCTTGCCAACCTCCTCCTCCCTGCCCTCTGCTGCTGCTTGTGCCTGCTCGCCTGCCGTGACGCCTGCCCCAGGCTGAATCCCCTCCTGCAGCTGGATTCCTGGCTGCTGCTCCTGATCGAGTTGCAGCTGCGCCTGATCTTGATAATGTTGATCCTTCTGCTGCTCCCGCTGCGGCTGCTGCTCCTGCTGCTCCTGCACCTGCTGCACCTGCTGCACCTGCTGCTGCTGCCCGCAGTCCTCAAGGTCCTGCTGCTCTGCCGCATCCTGCTGCCGCTGCCGCTTGCCCTGCCCCTGGCCCAGCACCGCGCGCTGCAAACGCTGGTCCCTGCGCAGCGCCGCGTCGTCCACTCGCGCAGCCCCTTCCCTGGGTTCCCAGGCGCCGTCGCCCTGCACATTGACAACGGGCTGGGCTCAGAGGGCGCTCCAAGGCCATTCAACCACCGACAGGGGTGGCACCTCACATGGGCCCCACCACACAGTAGTGAGCCCCCACCCAGACCGAGGTGCTGAATCCCCTGTCGTCCCACAAGATCTGCCTTAAGACGTGACCCAATCATTACGCACCCCAAAGTGACCCGGCTGCCACTCTACGTGATGAATGCCACGCGAACACACCACCTGGCACAATCGTACCCACATCCAACACAAGCACAGTTGATGACTCGCTGTCGCCCCCATGCGCTGCCACACTCACCAGGTGCCTCCAGTGCTTGCCCGCGTACGAGCCCAGCCAGATGCGCGGCGACGCAACGTCCAGCCAAAACGGCCGGCCGCTGTTGAGCGTCAGGTCCCCCTGGAATCGCAGCCGCACGCGGCCGGGGCCCCCGTCAGCCGCCGCCTCGCGGGCCAGGACCTTGGCCCGGTACCTAAGTGCGCAAGGGACAGGAGTGGGGTGTGCGGATGAGACAAATACCGGTATAGAGTCGAGCGCTTTTCTGGGGCGAGTTTTGGGGTTGGGTGCTGGGCTTTCCAGGCGTGGCCGGCGGATCGGCATGGGCACGTCCGCCCAGGCCCCGTCAGGGAATGCTGGGGCGCCGCAGCTTGCTGCTCTGCGCGGCGCGGTGACCCACCAGGCGCGGCGGTGCAGGATCATCGGGAAATTGGGGACCACAGGCGCAGCCCTCGGCGGCACCGCAGGCTGCCGATCTGGCGAGTCCTGCCGCGCGGTCGGCGCCGCGCCAAGCCGCACGGCGGCAGCAGGCGCGGCGCCGGATGGCAGGGCCGGGGCGGCACGGGTGGGGGCCGCGCCATGGGGAGGACCTCCGGTGGCTCTGGCGGCTGTCGCAGACCGACTGATGCGCAATGCTGGCAAGACAGGCTCCTCAAAAGTCTTTGGCTCCGCAGGGCTGCGCTTGGCTGCCAATGCGGTCCCCGCAACGGCGATGCCAGCCGCCGGCGCCGCCATTGCTGCTGCTGCCGCCGGCTGCAAGCTGCCCTGTGCCGCGTGTCGCGGCCGAAGCTGTCGCGCCGGCCGCTCGAGCTGCTCTCGCGTCTGATCAGGTGACGGCTGTTGGTCGCCCGCATCCGAGTGCCGTCGCCGCCGCCGCAGCCGCAGTCGCTGCCCCTCCTCCTTCTTTCCCTGCGGCACACGCCCTTCGTCAACTTCGGGCTGCTGCAGCTCCTGCTCAACCCCTTCCGGCTGCTGCTGCTGCTGCTGCTGCTGCTGTTGCTGCTGCGGCTGCATTTTGTCATCCCCCCTTTGCCGCTGCCGCCGTAGGCGTAGCTGCTGCTGCTGCTGCTGCTGCTGCTGCTGCCCTTGCTGCTGCTGCGCATCCTTGCTTGCATGCCTCTGGGTGCAACACTCTTCAGCATTGACCTGAACCGCAGCTGGTGCTGACGCCTTGGCTGCCCCAGCGACCTCAAACGCAGCACCACGGGTCGCAATGCTGCGAAGCCGCTTTGGCGGCGGCAGCGTATCGCAAGGCCAGCTGCGCCCAGCCTCGCAGCACGAGCCGCGGACAGTGTCTTTTGCCAGTGCCCCGGCTGCAGGGCAGCAGCTGCGCGTTGAGGACGAGGGCGCAAGCGCAACCACTGCTGGCGAATTCGACAGAGACTGAGGCACACGACGGGCCTTGGATACCGCTCTCCGCCTGGTGCTGCGCCTGCTGCAGGGGCTGCTGCCGCTGCCGATGTGACATTGTTGCTCCTCCTCCTGCTGCTTCTGCTGTTGCTGCTCCTGTTCCTGCTGCTGCGCCTGCTGCTTGGTGGTGTCCTGTTCTGACACCTCCTGGTCCTCTTTCTCATCCTCAGTATTGCCTCGTTGCTGCTGCTGCTGCTGCCCTGGCCTATGCTGTGCATCCTCGCCTGCATGCCTCTGGGTGCCACACCCCTCAGCCTGCAGCCAAACTGGGGCTGGCGGCTCAGCTGCCGCAGTGCTCTCAAGCGCCGGATTGGCCGCAGAGCCGGAGGCGTCCAACCAGCCATCGTCTGGCTGTCGCACAGCCGCCAAGCACGCTGAGGGTTCGCAGACCGGCCGCCTGCTGTTTGTGATGCTGCGCCGCCGCTTTGGCGACGGCAGCATACCGCAAGGGTAGCAGTGCTCGGCCTCGCAGCACGCTCCGCCAATCGCACCCTTCGTCAGTGCCTCGGCTGCAGGGCCGCAGCTGCCAGGTGCGGCTGATGATGAGGGCACCACCAACGTCGGACCTTCCAGTAGGAACTCAGCTAGAGGGAATGCTTTTGAAACCACCCTCCGCCTGCTGCTGCGCCTGTTGCTGGGGCTGTTGCCGCCAGAGTGGTCGTGCTCCTCCTCCTCATGCTCCTCCTGCTGCCGCTGCTCCTCCTCCTGCTGCTGCTGCCCTTCTGTGCCCTTCGGATGCTGCTGCTGCTGCTGCTGCTGCGTTAGGCAACACTTGGCCGCTGCTTTCATTCGCGGTGAGCTCGGGGCCCCTGCCAACTGCCAGCCCTTTGGCACCCAGGCGCCGCGGCCCTGCAAGGAAGCGCAGGCAGTGGCAGCCATCAGCTCTACTGCCGAACGGCTCACTAGCCCAGGTGCCCACCAGCCCCGGCCATCCCCTCCCCCATCACCCCTCTCCCCCTCCCAAAAGCAACCATATCATGAGGCCCCCACCA